CACCACAACACACACACACACACACACACACACACAATTAAAAATTATTTTTAAAAGGTTGGTGAAATGGTTCAGTGGTGAAGCATTCATCTCAAGCCTGACAATTTGATTTTAATCACTGAGACCCACCTGGTGGAAGAGAAAACCAACTCCCCACTAAATGTCCTCTGACTTCCGAGTGTCTGAGTGTACATACAAAATAAATAAATGAAATGAAATAAGTTTTTAAGAAATTAAACTTACTGCAGATTAAAGATGTCTCTGGAGGAGGGAGCTGGAGAGATGTCTCAGAGGTTAAGAAAACTGGTTGCTCTTTCAGAGGACTTAGGTTCAATTCCTAGCACCGATATGGTGGCTTATACCCCTCTGTAACTTTAGATCCAGGGGATCTGACACCTTCTTTTTGGCCTCTGTGAGCATCAGGCACATACATGGTGCACAGACATACAGGCAGGCAAATACTCCCAACCCACCCCAAGAAAAATGTCTTTGGCATTTCAAAACTTCAAAAACTCCCACCTTACCACACCCAGTGCTTTCCTCATAGATGTGATTTGAAGTCAGTCCCTGGTCACAAGTGCCCTGTGTTCTAAATTGTCACTAGTCATATCTCCCAAAAGCCTTCTCTTTTTCTAGATACTTCCCTTCATCCAGCCAGCTTGGAGCTTTTTTTGGTTCTGGTGCTGGCTAGTTTTATGTCAGCTTGACACAAGCTAGACTCATCAGATAGGAGGTAGCTTCAATTGAGAAAATGCCTCTAAAAGATCAGGCTGTAGGCAGGCTGTAGGGCATTTTCTTATTTAGTGATTATGAGTAGGGACACCCATAGGGCTGGTGGTCCTGGGTTCTATAAGAAAACAGGCTGAGCAAGCCAGTAAGCAGTACTCCTCTGTGGTCTCTGCATCAGCTCCCACCTTGGGGTTCCTACTCTGCTAGAGTTCCTGTTCTATCCCTTCAACAATGGAGTACCATGTGGACCTATAAGCCAAATAAACCCTTCCCTTCCCATGTTTCTTTGGCCATAGTGTGATGGAGGATGTCCTCCTATATATGTTTCTCTTATTGGTTGATGAATAAAACACCATTCAGCCAATGAGGCGGGAAGATAGGTGGACTAGGAGATGAAGAAAATTCTGGGAAAGGTAGGCAGGAGCCTGATGTTGCTGGAGGAGTGACATCATGCCGGGCATTACCAGTTAAGCCACAGCCTAGTGGCAATACATAGATTGATAGAAATGGGTTGATAATTAAGACAGAGATAGCCAATAAGAAGCCCTAGCCAATGGCCAATAGCTTAATAATTAATATAGCATCTGTGTGTTTATTTGGGAGTGAAACAGCTGTGGTTCATTACAGCAATAGTAACCCTAACTAGGACAATTGTCATGTAATTAAATGGTTGTAGCCATCTCTAAGAAGGCGTTTATTGCTATATTTTAGTTACTTCTAAGTCTGCCTTCCCTTTACCATGTAAGTGCAGACTCTTTCCATGGGGTCTCCAAGAACAAATGCCCTTCATTATATTAAATAAAATGTTAAGCTGATACTAGTAATTTCTCATTAGTTTCTTGGGATACAGTTCTAAGAGTAGAATTAGTAGACCAAATGCTATGAATCTTTTAAAGGTCTCTTAAGAATGCCATCAAATTATGTTCCAGAAATCCTAAATGAATACATATACTCTCCTTTAATTCCCATTATGCTGGTGGCATCTGATCCCATAACTACTATTTGAAAAAATCTGACATGATTTCAAAGTTTAAATATGTCTACCATCGTAATAAGGACACAAGTACTTAAGTGAATACATGAGAATAAATTCTCATGACAGAACTGGGCCAAGGTTGTGCAAACCCCAGATGTTTAACCATCTGAGAAATTCCAAGGTACCCTGTCTCAGACCCACCCAGTACATGAGGGCCCTGGTTTCTCTACTTCTAACTCCTGGCAGCCACCTGACCAGACAGCAAGTTTTTGTATTCACAGTTTTGATTTGTTCTACCTAGAAGTGTTGTGGTACAGACCTGCCTTTCACTAACAGGGCTGTACTCTCTGGAGTGTACTGAGGGTCTTCACTCATTTTAAACCTGGATTTCTTGTCTTTTCCCTATGTTCTTTATAAATTTTCAACACAAGTTCTTTATTCAATGGGTTTTACAATTCTGTGGGTTTGTCTTCAATTTCTTATTGGTGTCTTTTGATGTAAGCATTTTAATTTAGATAAACATTTAGATAAATGTTTTTTCTTGTGTTTCTTATTCTTTTGGTGTCATCTTTATGAAAATATAGTAGCATATAAAGTCAGAAAAATTGTTTAGCTCTTACATTTAAAGATGAACTCATTTTGGTTAAATTTTACATATTAACTCAATCTTAGGAGTACAACTTCATTCAGTGTATGTGGATATCCCACCACTGGCTAAAAGGATTACCCATTCTTTCACTGAATTATTCTAGCACCTCTGTAAAACACCACTTTAGAGTGGGGATGTAGCTCGGTGGTAGAGCCTATGCTTAGTAGGCACAAAACCCAATTCTCCTACCATGCCTGATACTTGCCTTTTTCTGTTTCCCCGCCAACACCTCCCTGGGTGGGAAGAGGTACCTCACTGTGCTAGTCACTTATCTTGCCATTTCTCTCATGATTGTGTCTCTTGGCCACCTGCTTCCTTTTAATAAGAAGTATCTATTCGTGTCCAGCCCCTATTTTTTTTCAGTGTGTATGCGATATATGTGTGAGTGTTTTTAGGAGTGTGCATACCCAGTGATGGTTTGAAGCATATAGGCCCATATGCTTCATCAATGGGAAGTAGTACCTTTTGAAAGGATTAAAAATGTTAAAAAGTGTGGTCTTATTGGAGATGAAATCTTTGAGATTTCAAGAGCCCATGCCAGGCCCAGAGTGTGTCTCCCCCACCCCACAAACCCACACCCCAGATCATGATGTACCCCTTAGCTTCTGCTCCAGTATCTACTTGCATGCATGACACAGTTCTCCCACCATGATGGTAATGGACTGAACCAATCAAATGTTTTCTTTCATAAGAGTTGCCTTGGTCATGGTGTCTCTTCTCAGTGACAGAAGAGTGACTAAAACACCAGAGGATGATGTCAGGTGCCCTTTCCCATGGTCTGCTTATTCCTTTGACACAGGCTCTCACGCGATTTGGAGCTAGGCTGGAAGCCAGCAAGTGCCAGGGATCCCCCTGTGTCTGCCTCCTACAGCACTGGGATTACAAGCATGGGTACTCAGCCTTGCCCAGCTCTTCTTACAAGGATTTGAAGGATCCAAAGAATTCAGGTCCTCACACTTGGGAAACAAGAATTCTTAGCCACTGTGCCATCTCCCCAGGGCCATTGTTTGGCATTTTTGATAGTGTCTCCCTATGTGACCCTGGATAGCAATTAGTTCATTGTGTAGTATAGGGTGGTCTGAAGCTTGAAATCCTTATAACTCAGCCTCTGGGGTGATGGGATTACAGGTGTGAGCCTGGGCTACACAGATACACAGATTTGATAACCAAAGCTTTGTAGTGGGTGTTAACAGTAAATATGAGGCCAACTCTGCTCTCCTATTTAGAGGTTTTGACTACTTAAGAGCTCCTGAAATTCCATGTGAATTTTAGGGTAAATGATCTGTTTCTGGAAAAGTGGAGCTGGAATTTCAAGTAGAGCTTCATTGAATCTACTTACCACCATAAGTAGTACTGACATCCTAACCATATTAACAAGTCCAAATTCCTGGCATATTTAGCTTAATATATTTATCTCCAGTTTGCATTTTTCTGTGTACAAATCAAATGTATCTCTTCTCTCTCTCTCTCTCTCTCTCTCTCTCTCTCTCTCTCTCTCTCTCTCTCTGTGTGTGTGTGTGTGTGTGTGTGTGTGTGTGTGTGTGTACACATGCACTTTCCTTTGCTCCTTTCTACTGTTGTAGAGCAAGCACACAATGAGTGTACACAACGACACGTGACACTTTCAGAACAGCTGCCACCCTGGGAGAGCAAGAGTAGAATGGAGACTGCAAAGAGAAGATTCAGCTGCATTTACAGATTTTTTTTTCCTTTCCAGTAGGAAGTCTTTATATGCTGTACTCTCTCAGTTTGAAGTCTTCAAAGTTTAAAGTGCCTGAAAAAATTTTAAACTTTAAAATCATGGATTCTCTGAGCTGAGCCATGAGCTAAATAAACACGACTTTGCTTATACATTCTCTAAAGTCGAGAACCCATCCTATCACTCGTAGGCTAATTTTGTTCTGGCTATAGTAAGAAACCAAGGAAGCAAACACAGCTCTTCCCTCGGTGAGAGGAGAAAAGGTGCTACACTAGGCAAACCTTCACACAAGAATGTCTAATGAAACAGCAACCCAAGCTACTCTGTGAGGATGACATACCCCACAGCATCCAAGTGAGAAACAAGAAAACAGTTTATTGCTTGTTTTGTTTTATGTCCAGGATGGACTTAAAGCACTCATTTCAGAGTGCTTCTCTCATGAGAAAAAACGTAAACCAGGGGAGAATTTTGCAGGTAAAACAATCTAAAGATGGTACTTGAACAGTCAGATTAGGGGTCATGAGTTTCTAAAATGAAATTGCAAACAAACATGGAGTTTGGGCTCAAAAGAATGATCTGGACAGGGAGTGGCTTCCATGCGCTCCCTGTCAGATCAAGGGTAACAGCTTATATCCTAAAGCTGTTTTTCCAAGGGCCAGATTAGGTCAGATTCACACGCCTTTAATCTCTGTTGCAAAGGCAAACCTGTGACTTTTCAGTGGGTGCTGCAGAAAAATGAATAAGGAAGTGGTTTAGAATGTGCTAAGTCTAGGAATGTGTTCCCTAATCAGCATAAGAGGACAAAAAATAATCTGTTCCCTTTAAATTTGGTTCATAAAGACAAACACAGCTATGCTGGGGGCTGTCAAGAGACACTGGAGAGGCAAAAACAGGTTCTAAATTTGCCTAGATAATTCAAGATTACCAAATAAACAAGCAAAACTCACAGTGAATGTGGACCCACTGCTGGATGCCACGACAGTGTGATCTTCGTCATGTAACTTTATTGAGAGCTCCCACTTAGCCGCATCTGTTCTAACAACTGGCACTCTGAAGGAAAAAGAAAGAAAAACAGTTAATGATATATTATTCTCTAGCAATAAACTAATTTCCTTTAACACTGGTGTATAATGAAACAGTGAAAGGACACACTTCACAAAATTTAATTTTACTAATCCCACACTTGGAAAAACAGCTTTCTGATATAAACTGAAGAGTTTTTTTTTTTTTTTTTTTTTTTAAAGATTTATTTGTTCATTATATGTAGAGTGTTTGGCCTGCAGGACAGGCAGGCCAGAAGAGGGCACCAAATCTCATTATAGATGGTCATGAGCCACCATGTGGTTGCTGGGAATTGAACTCAGGACCTTTGGAAGAACAGGCAATGCTCTTAACCACTGAGCCATCTTTCCAGGCCAAACTGAAGAGATTTTTAAAAGCAGACACTCCAAAGACAACAGTGGTCCCTCTTTTGTAATTGTAGCACCATCACTTCATCTAAGCCATCATGGTAGTTGCAATGTAATTGCCCCATAATCTCATAAGAGATTAGGGCTATGGTTTTGTTGCAGTGGGTATGGCCTCGTTGGAGGAAGTATGTCACTGTGGGGGTGGGTTTTGAGGTTTCCTAAACTCAGGATACCACCCAGTGTTTCAGTTGACTTCCTGTTGCCTACAAGATGTAGGACTCTCAGCTGCTACACCAGTACCATGTCCGCCTGCATGGAGTCATACTCCGTGACATGATGATAATGGATTAAACCTCTGAAATTGTAAGCCAACTCCCTCAAGTAAATGTTTTCCTCTGAAGAGTTGCTGCGGTCATGGTGTCTCTTCTTCACAGCAATAAAAACACTAAGACAGGTATCATCACTCCATGTCATAAACCTGAATTATGTAACTGTGACAGCCCTTCATATATTAATCTTTCTTAAGCAGTATTACTTTTTGATAACTATTCAAGGTATTTTTAAATAAAGTAAAACAAAGTGACAAGTGTACTAAGTTTCCAAGACCGGAAAAAAAAAAGAATTAGTTGGCATAATTTGGCATAGAAATTTGGGGTTATTTATACTGTGTAGTTGATACAACTAAAATTGAAGTAAAGAATGGAATAGGTGAAATCTCTCGATGAGGGAAGGCGCTTCCTACAGGCTTGAGGACCTGAATTCAACCCCTGGAGTCCACATAAAAGTCAAAGGACAAAATGGACTACAAGGTTATTCTCTGACCTTCACACAATACACTATTCTGCTTGTAAACAATGCAGAATGTTCCTCCATAGTGCAGAGTGGAAAAACCTACCTTAATATATCAGTCAGACTAAAACAAAAGGAGAGACAAAACTAAGCTACATTAAGCCACATGACCTACAAGTTCACAAACACTGACTGGCACTGTGTCATGGAAAACCAGAAGGCAATATGGTTCCCATCTTGCACACTTCTCTATTCCTGGCTTTCTGATAAGCCTGGAGTCCATGCAAGGCTGCCAGAGTTCTGAACAAAGCTAGTCTTACATAAAATTATATGTTATCACAATTTTTTTTAAAAAGTAATGACTTCTACAGCTGATGAGCACCTTCAGCAAAGTGGCAGGATATAAGATTAACTCAAAAATATTAGTAGCCCTACTATACACAGATGGTAAATGGGCTGAGAAAAAAATCAGGGAAACATCGCTCAATACAATAGCCACAAACAGCATAAAATATCTTGGGGTAACACTAACCAAACAAGTGAAAGACCTGTATAGCAAGAATTTGAACCTTCAAAGAAAGAAATTAAAAAAGATACCAGAAAATGGAAAGATCTCCTATGCCCTTGGATAGGTAGGATCAACATAGTAAAAATGCCAATCTTGACAAAAGCAATCTACAGATTCAATGCAATCCCCATCAAAATCCCAGCACAATTGTTCACAGATCTTGAAAGAACAATTCTCAACTTTATATGGAAAAACAAAAGACCCAGGACAGCCAAAACAACCCTATACAATAAAGGAACTTCAGGAGGCATCACCATCTCTGACTTCAAGCTCTATTATAGAGCTATCGTCCTGAAAACAGCTTGGTATTGGCACAAAAATAGATAGGTAGAAGCTGGGTATTGGTGGTGCATGCCTTTAATCCCAGCACTCTGGAGGCAGAGGCAGGCGGATCTCTGTGAGTTCGAAGCCAGCCTGGTCTCCAGAGTGAGTGCCAGGATAGGCTCCAAAGCTACACAAAGAAACCCTGTCTCGAAAAACTAAAAAAAAGAAAAAGAAAAAAGATAGGTAGACGAATGAAATCAAGTTGAAAACCCTGATATTAATGCACACACATACAAACACCTGATTTTTGAAACAAACAAACAAACAAACAAACCTAAAAATTATACAATGGGAAAAAGAAAGCATCTTTTCAAATGGTGCCGGCATAACTGGATACTGGCATGCAAAAGACTGCAAATAGATCCATATCTATCATCATGCACAAAACTTAAGCCCAAATGGATCAAAGACCTCAACATAAATCCAGCCACACTGAACCTCTTAGAAGAGAAAGTAGGTGGTACCCCTTGAATGAATTGGTACAGGAGAACGCTTCCTGAACATAACACCAGAAGCACAGACACTGAGATCGACAATTAATAAATGGGACCTCCTGAAACTGAGAAGCTTCTGTAAGGCAAAGGACACAGTCAACAAGACAAAACAGCAGCCCACAAAATGGGAAAAGATATTCACCAACCCCACATCTGACAGAGGGATGATTTCCAAAATATACAAAGAACTCAAGAAGCTAGTCACCAAAACACCAAATAATCCAATGAATCTAAAATGGCCGCCGAAAGACACTTAAGAAAGTGCTCAACATCCTTAGTCATCAGGGAAATGCAAATCAAAACAACTTTGAGATACCATCTTACTCCTGTCAGAATGGCTATAATCAAAAATACCAATGACAGTTTATGCTGGAGAGGATGTGGAGAAAGGGGAACACTTCTCCACTACTGGTGGGAGGGCCAACTTGTACAGCCACTTTGGAAATCAGTAAGGAGACTCCTCAGGAAAATGGGAATCAGTCTACCACAAGATCTAGCAATTCTACACTTAGGCATATACCCAAAAGAAGCTCATTCATACAATAAGGACATCTGTTCAATGATGTTCATAGCAGCATTATTTGTAATAGCTAGAACATGGAAGCAACCTAGATGCCCCTCAACTGAAGAATGGATGGAGAAAATGTGGTACATTTACAAAATGGAGTACTACTCAGTGGAAAAAAACAATGGAATCTTGAAATTCGCAGGCAAATGGATGGAACTAGAAGAAACCATCCTGAGTGAGGTAACCCAGTCACAAAAAGACAAACATGGTATGTACTCACTCATATGTGGATTTTAGACATAGAGTAAAAGATTACCAACCTACAATCCACACTGCCAGAGAAGCTAGGACCCTAAGAGAGACATACATGGTCCCCCAGAGAAGGGGAAAAGGTCAAGATCTCCTGAGCAAATTGGGAACATGGAGGGAGGGGAGAGGGAGTTAGGAGAATGAGAAGGGGAGAAGAGGAGGGTGAGGAGGACATGAGGGAGCAGAAAGGTTGAGTCTAGGGAAGAATAGAGGAGAGCAAGATAAGAGATACTATAATAGAGGGAGACATTATAGGTTTAAAGAGAAATCTGGCCTCGGGAAATGTCCAGAGATCTACAAGGTTGACCCCAACTAACAAGCTATGCAGTGGTTGAGCGGGGAGAAGAGGAGGGTGAGGAGGACATGAGGGAGCAGAAAGGTTGAGTCTAGGGAAGAATAGAGGAGAGCAAGATAAGAGATACTATAATAGAGGGAGACATTATAGGTTTAAAGAGAAATCTGGCCTCGGGAAATGTCCAGAGATCTACAAGGTTGACCCCAACTAACAAGCTATGCAGTGGTTGAGCGGCTACCTTAAATGCCCTTCTCAGATAATGAGATTGATGACTACCTTATATGCCAGGTCTAGATCCTTCATCAGACACCCACAGCTAAACACTGAGCTGAACTCTGGAATCCAGTTGCAGAGAGGGAGGTGTGTGAGCAAAGGGTCAAGCCTAGGCTGGAGAATCCCACAGAAACAGCTGACCTGAACATGGGTGACCTCATGGGCCTTAGACTGATACCTGGGAAACAAGCATAGGACTGTCCCAGACCCCCTGAATGAGGATGTCACTTAGGAGGACTGGTTAATCTATAGGGCCTCTGGTAGTGGATCGGTATTTATCCCTAGAATGAACTGTGTTGCCCACTCCACATAAAGGGATGCTCTCTCAACCTAGACACATGGGGGAGAGCCTAGGTCCTGCTCCAAATGATATGACAGACTTTGAAGATTTCCCCCATGGAAGGCCTCACCCTCCCTGGAGGGAGGGAGAGGGAGCTGGATTTGACATGTAAAACAAGCTTGTTTCTAATTTAGATAAAAAATTTTACTTAAAAAAATATTGACTTCAAAATTAACCCTAGTGTCACACATTTATATTCTTTATATCTTTAGGGTATTATTAACACTAACACTTTTTTGTATCTAGGCTCTAGCTCCAGCCATGTATCTAAATTTAAGGTTGCAGGTTATATTTTCATTCAAGCCTCTCGATTTCAAAAGAATTTTATTACCTGGTATTTTAAAAAAGGCATAGTCATAACAGCCACGACTCTCGAGTCCCCTCTAGTTACAGGGCCTAAAGAAGAGCGATTAACAGGAGAGGGGATGTTTGTACTGACTTTGGAAGACACTGTTAGGCGACCTGAAGAGAACTGCTTTAGAGGGAAGAGCTTCATACAGAAAAGGGAGAATAAACAAGAGTTCCTGAGGACAAGGACAGGAGGGGAAGGGGAGAGGGAAGAAAGGAAGGTAATGGCCAAGCCCAGGCAGCAGGCAAGAGAGTGTTCTGTACCCCACTCCTCACTTAGGACCTGCTTTCCACAGGGCACGGTCACATTTGTGTCTCTCCCACTGTACCGCAGGTCTCAAGAGCTTCTACTATCACTCCTAACTTTTAATTGTTGACTTTTTTGGAACCCAA